GAAGAAGAAGGGGGGAGGAAGAGGAACAGATCTGGAGAGAAAAAACAGGGGTGAAAAAGAATTGGGGAGAAGAAGAAGAATCAAAGTGTACGGATCTGGAGGAACAAATGTGGAGAGGAAAAAAAAGAAGAAGAAAAAGAGAAGATGAAGAAAAGAAAGAGAGGAGGGGCGAGGAACTAAGGGAGAAGAGAGAAAGGGGGAGGGGAGAGATAGAGGGAATATTGGTAAGTGGAGGTATTTTAGGTAGTTAGTGTATAAAAAATTGAAATGAGAAGATTATTTCCGGACGGAGAAAAAGGGGAAATGAGAAGATTATTTTCGGACGGAGAGAGTATTTTATATTAATTAGATAAAATATTATCATATCCGTTTTGACTTTTCTCGATCAACCATATCTACTTTTGGTTAGGTATCACGTCTAGGGGTGGACACGATACGGTTCCGGGACGGTTCCGGTTCCGGAACCGCCGGTTCCGGTACCGCCACCCCTTGGTACCGGTACCGGTACCGGTACCGTTTCGGCCACCCCTAATTTTGTTTTTTTTTGCTTTTTTATTATATTTTTAAAATGTAAAATTGTAAATGTGTAATTGTTAAAGGAAATGATGGAATAAAAAAATCTAAAAATGAAATTGATAAAGGAAAGAATGAAATAAAAAAAAAATAAAAAAAACGGTAACGGTACCGGAACCGGAACCGCCGGTGCCGGTACCGAAAAATGGGCACCGGAACCGGTACCGGATTGGGCGGTACCGGTACCGGTTCCCGGAACCGGTGGACCGTACCGGCCGACGGTAACGGTACCGGAACCGGCGGTACCGTTTCCGGTACCGGTACTGTACCGGTACCATGTCCACCCCTAATCACGCCAGTCTAGTTCAGAACATTACCAAGTACTACTTCCATTCAAAGTAGTTGTCCGCTTGAATATTTTTGAATCTAACTAGACAAACCTAGATAATCAATTAAATAAAAGTAATTTTGGCATTGGTACAAAAATAATTTAATTAGATCTATCTTACAAAAATGAACAAAATTTTCTTTCGTTATTTTAATATGCAATGCAAAATTAATGATAAAAGTTTATTCAGTCTGACTAAGAAAACAAACAAAACATATATTCTACAATAGAAGGAAATTGATATATTTCTCCACACTTGTTTTTTTACGCAAATTCGTATGACAAATTCTTCCGTCGTCTTAAAGTCCATGCTTATTTTATGAACCTTAGTATATTACGGAGTAATATATTAAAAGAAATAAGATAAGATCTACTTACCGGCCCGTGAAAAGGTGAAAAAGTCCGCATTTTACATATGTACCTTAGGACTACGGAAGAACAACTCTATTCGTATATTCAAGATATTTTTAGGGCCGGCAAGGTGTCTTACCAACCCAGACTCATTTTTTTAGTGCTCAATAATTTTAATTATATATATATATATATATATATATATATATAGGGATTGACTCCAGTGAGATGGCACCTTATGGTGAGATGACATGCTTCGGTGAGATGACGCAAATCTCACCACATTACACTGCAAAGCACACTGGTCACCGGAATCCGCCGCCGGAATCTGCCTCTGATCGGCGGCATCCGCCGCGGACCAGTGGTTGACCGGTGTTCCTATTTTATTTTTTATTAATTTTTAATTTTCAAAATTTTAAAAAAAGGTGATTTTTGGTGTTTAAAGTGGTGAACTTTACTTTATTTCTAGGTGAGCTTTGCATTGTCCATTGGTGAGCTTTGTAGTGTAGTGTGGTGAGCTTTGCGTCATCTGACCGAAGCATATGATCTCACCATAAAGTGTCATCTCACTGGAGTCAATCCCTATATATATATATATATATATATGAATTGACTCCGGTGAGATAACACCTTGTTGTAAGATGACTGGAGGTGCAATTTTATTAGTTTTTTTATTAAAAAAAGTTGTGAGCTTTGCATTATTCCTTGGTGAGCTTTTTCATTGTCAGTTGGTGAGCTTTGCATTGACAGTTGGTGAGCTTTTTACTTTGACCGCCCATGACCAATGGCCACCACCGATGACCTCCACTGTCGTTGTGGACCGGTGGTTGAGCGGTGGTTGACTGGTGGTTGAGTGATAGTTCAATTTTTTAACTTATTTTATTTAAAAAAAAGTGGTGATCTTTGCATTGGTCCTTGGTGAGCTTTCCATTGGCAGTAGGTGAACTTTGTATTGGCAGTTGATGAGCTTTCCATTGGCCGTGTTATGTGTGTTGTGTCATCTGATTGAAGCATGTCATCTTAGCATAAGGTATCATCTCACTGTTGTCAATCTTATATATATATATATATATATATATATATATATATATATATATATATATATATATATATATATATATATATAAATAATTTTTTAACTTAATTTTTTAAAGTAGCTATTATGATATTTAATCATCATATTATAATTTCTTTATGTATATTATTATAATATTAAATTATTAATTGTTGTTTAAAAAAATAATTTATGCTCCGCATAATATACTCCGTAATTTGTTAGGAACAAAAACCCATTTTGGGTCTCGTCTAGGGGTTCAGAATTACCCTCAATATTTTTATCAACAACACCAACTTCATTCTATCAACAACACCAACTTCATTCCTCGATCAAAAAAAGAAAATTGATTTTTTTTTCTCGCATACTCCATTCGCACCGAGTTAGTTTACAATTTTGCATTACAAAGTAGAACTCCATATTTTTTTAAATCTTATTAAATAATTTGTATATGAATAAAAAAACAAAATTAACGTATTAAAAAACTAAGTCAAACCTTTTACTCCATCTGATCCTCAAAACAATTTTTATTTTGACTAATGGGAGAAAAAAATGTATTCATATAGTTAAATTTTAAACTTTACTTTAGATATAATGGATAAAAGTAAAATGTAATGGATATATTATTAGTGAAAAAGTATGATATGATATATATATGATAAGAATTAGTAGGGGTACACGTAATTTCTTTAATAAAAAATGGAAGTGTGTTTTGGTGAAAAAGAAAAAAATAAAAAAAGAAGTGTTCTAATTAACGGAAGGAGTAGAAAACAAGAGGTGAAACGAAATTTTATTTTATCAAATAATTAATGAAAATACACAAATAAACAAAGCTTATCGGAAGGTAAAAGAAAAAATATAAACAATTTTGGGACGGAAGGAATATAATGATAACCAATGGTGGTTTGACATTCTCTAAGCTTACTCATAATTAAGGCTTTGTTCTTTTGAGTTGTAGTTTCAGAGTTAGATGTTGAAAAGTCACTTAATTAAATGATCATCCAAAAAATATAGAGTGTTATTGTATATCCATCTTATATAAATACTTATTTTAAGTCATTGTTGGAAGAAATGAGGTGTAAGAAATGAAGAAAGTAAGAGTGATTAATTAGTACATCGTATACACATTATATAAAAAAGAGTTCAATATATGCACACATTTAGTAAACGTCAAACCAAAAAATGACGGAACAAAGAGAAAGAAATACATTCATTACCTAAGTGAGAGAGGCGTTTCAAGAACAGCTCCAAAATGGGAGCTATTTAAAATTTACTCCTAATGAGTAAATTTTAAACGGGTATCTAGGTCGGTCAATATATGTTATTTCTATATTATAACATCTCAGAACATGTAGAATCAAACATAAAGTAATTAAACAATCTATTTTTGAAACGCAATTTACATCACAATGTCACATTTCAACTTAAACGTATACACAAAAGCAACTCAAATATATACTAATTAAAGGAAATACATTCGAATAAATTTAAAATTATATTTACCACTTGAAATAAAAATAATAATCACCTAATACATATAAAAATATATAAATAAATAATACTATAATTAAAAATTTAAAGTGAAATATTAAAAAAATACCTTAACGAAAATGTGAAGGGGGTACGGCGAGGGTAGAGGAGCACGACGCAGCGACGACACGGCGACAGCGAGGGGTTGGAGGCACGGCGACGGCGAGCGAGGGGGATGGCAACGACCGAACGACAAGAATGGCGTGATTTGGAGGTTTGAGGCGAATGCAAGAGCAAGGAGGTACGGCGACAGCGAGCGCGAGGTACGGTGAAGCTTGGAGCGACGGACGGTGAAGCTTGGAACGACGGGGAGCGAGGAACGGTGACGACGAGCGAGGTACGACAAGCGAAGCGACGACGAAGGCACGATGACGGCGTCGGGAATTACAGCGAAAGGTTTGGGGAGGTTTTTTTTCAAAATCGCGTAAGGATAAGAATTTGGTGGCTGAATATAACAGCCCCTTTTGAATCGGTTATCCCTAATAACCGATGCAAAAGAGTATTTGCATCAGTTATTAGGGATAACCAATTCAAAAGATAACCTGAGCATTTGCATCGGTTCAAAACCGATTTAAAAGGGTCAACATAACCGATTTAAAAAGTCTTTTTTGTAGTAGTGCAACTTATTACACAAGTCGCCTGCGGTGATGTGTAGAAGAATAGAGAGGCAGTGCGTTATATCTGAGACAGCAGGTGGTTTTTTTTTAACTAGACAAAAAATTGTGGGTGGTAGGAAAGAACAATGGCCCGGCGGGCGGCTAATGACGTTGCAGCCCGCAAGGTGCAAAGGCAAAAAATTTTAGGTCACCGAGAACGGTGGCTCCGATACCATGTTAAAATATTAAAATAATAATATTGATAATTAAATTATGAAGTACATGATAGAGTATATATAGGAGAGATTCTTAACAATATAAGAAATAGAGAATGTAAACTCACTAAAATACTACATCTACCATAAATAGGAATAGAAAACTGATTAAGTATAAAAAACTAATTGATACTAACATTAAACTTGGCATTATTGTCTCACAAATACACACACTGACACAAATTTACGCATATATAGTCACTGGCACGTTTGTGAAAAACTGGTAATCTTAAACTTGATATTGTGATACTCTTTTGATAAAAACCAAAACATAAAAAAAGAAAAGAAAGTCAATAGGACGAAAATGCCCTTCTACATCTCCCAACCTCCCCTCATTTACTACTACTACTACTCCCTCTAAACTCTAAACGTAATTTTGATTTATGGAGAGTTACTTATTATTGATCATATTCTTGCACTACTTTCTAAGTGCAAGTATGCAAGGGAGTTGCCGTCCCCGGCGGTACCTTAACACCATTCCTGGCGACGGCACCTCCCTGATTTGCCTCACACGCTTTCTGCATTTCTAAATCGTTCCCGAAAACACAACACTCATCTCCCACCACCATTATCGTCATCCTCTTCTGTGTTTTCTCCGGTTCTTCGATCGCCTCGACCATCTTCCAATTCTCCTCCTTGTATTCCTTGTACTTTCCCCATAATACCCCGTACAGTCCGAAAACTATCAACACGGCTCCAAGCACACTGCAATCAAGCCAGACTACTTATTAAGGAGTTCATTCATTTACAAAAGAAAAAAAAGTGACATGAGACTTTATATACTCCCTCTGTCCCATAAAGATAAGGACATATTGACTAAAATGGTAAAATAAGGGAAGATAATTTTGTGTTGATTTTCTAAAAATACCCTTGATGTGATGTGTAGATTATTAGGAAAAAGGTATGATGTGATAGGTAGGGTATGAAAATGTAAGAGGTAAAAATGGTTTTTTAGTAGAAATGAGAATGACTTTTGGGGCACGATTTTTTTGAAACGTGAAAGACTTTTTGGGACGAAAACCTTATAATAGTACTCCCTCCGTTCTCAAAAACACTTCCTCTTTCATTTTTTTCACTTCCAACAAAACACTTCCCTTTTCTATTAAAAACCACTTTTACCCTTACTTTTTCATACCCTATCTATCAAATCATACTTTTTCTCTAATAATCTATTCATCACATCTTACTTTTACCCATCACATCAGGGGCAAAATTGGAAATCAACTATAATTTAACACTTCCTTATTTTTGTCCCAAATCAAAATGGGAAGGGTTTTTACAAACGAAGGGAGTACATTATATTACTACCTTCCAACAAAGATTTTCTCAGCAAGAATGAAGGATCCCAAGACAGCAACAATGACCATCATTAGTGGACTGAAAGCTGTGGCAAAAACAGGCCCCCTTTTCTGCATCACTTTGCCTTGGACATAGTATGCCAGACTTGATGACACTATTCCCTGAATTTTGAGGTTTCATTTGGAAGAGGTTACACACAAATTGAGAGAGAGAGAGTAGAGAGAGAGAGAGAGAGGAGAGAGAGATCTATTTACAGCATAAGCAGCAGCAAGAAGGTTCATGTCCCAGCCAATGGTCCAAACAGAGGCCCTATGCTCCATTACAAAAGTGACTGCAATGGATTGTAAAGTGCCCAAGAAGCACACCAAAGCTGTGAGGGATAGCTGAGCTGTATATTTCTTCAGTGTAACTGCCTGCTCAAAAAAGTTAACACCACTTTAGTGATTTGAACTTTTGAAAAAGAAAGAAAAAAAAAAGATAGTGCTAAATTCACATGCAGCCTTTTTGGCTAAATACATATATAGTCTAAAAATCTTTCCCCTTTCTTTTTTCATCCGTCCCAAAAAACTCTTCTCTTTCTCTATTAAAAACTCACTTTTACCCCTAATAATTCTTAACATACCTATCAATCACACTTTTTCTCTATTAATCTACTCTTCACGTCCTACTTTATCCATCACATCAAAGGACATTTTTGGAAAATCTATATCAAAATATACTCCCCTTAAATCTTTTAAAAGTCAAAATGGCCCGGTTGTGTACCTGAAGGACGAAGAAGGAGGCCCAAGCAAAAGTAGCTAGAATGAGGAGAATGGAGCCTTTGAGCCAGTCTTTATCAGAAAAACCAGACATTTGAGGGGCTGAAGTAGGGGAATAATTGTTCTTGGGATATTTGGTATGGACTGACCACAAGAAGTTGACAACATGCCCTTTGTAAAGTGTCATTAGCATGGCTCCTCCCACTGTCACTATTGTCCCCACAACCTTTGCTTGACACCTCACCTTCTTCATGTTCACCTTCTCCATCCTTTTAAGAAAAGAGGGTAAATATGCATCGAAAAACCAAGGTGGGCTTGGAAAAAGTTTAATATTCTAACAAAATATTTTAAGACTCGGAATTTCGTGAGGGTAAAATTGAACATTTTTGTGGAGGATGTGCATGATTTATTTATTTTACCTGCAGAGAACTGCCATGAGGAATGTCATTGCAGGGAGCATGTTGCTCATGGCACAAGAAAAAGTTGGGGATGTGAATTTCAGCCCGGCGTAGTAGAAGTTTTGATCAATCACCGGCCTGAGAGAAAGAAGATATAAGACGTTTGGTCAAAACCATATTAAATGACTGGATTCAATCGATGAGTTGATTTAACTCATTATTTGTTCTTTAGTTTTTCGACGTGGGATAATCCGTAACATTTGAATGTGTATGAGTTACTACTTCCATTGTCAATGGGTTTTGGGATGAAATATTAAAATTTCACAACTCTACATGGTACCAGAGCCAAGAATTAGAACTAAAAAAACTCATGTCTATTTGAGCAAGTGATAACTTGAAGTAAAAAGACCCAAGTAGCACTTGAATGGGATGTTGAAGATTTAATTTTACATTGGACACTCAATAGTTTTGTGATGAAATCTCACAATTTCTCATGAAACATGGTAGTTCAGAGAGAGAGAGAGAGACTGACCCCAGCAGACCCAAAACAAAGATCTGCATGAAAATTGGGAATGTCATCTTTGGCCTCACTTTCCTGCAAAAGGACAAGGATTAAGACCATTTTAATCACTAGCTTATATATTATTATTAACATGATAATTGTAGAGGGAGAAGTAATTATTATCATTATTGAGTAGTAAATACTACCTTTCAAGAAAAAGAGCAAAGGGGGCAATAATAGCAGTGGCAAAGGCATGCCTATAGACAACCAAAACATAATGGCTCATGCCCCTGTTGAGGGACACTTTGGTAATTATGTTCATCCCTGCATACCCAAACTGCAAGGAGATCATAGCTATGTATGGACTTGCATTTTCCATGAACTTCCCCACACAACCTTTCCCTTCCATATTTATATGTTCTTGCTCTTTAATCAAATAAAGTTTCTTGAAATGAGAGAGGGAGAGGAAAACACTTCAAGTAATTGGCTTGAAAGGTTTAGTTTTTATTTTTTGTGTTTTTTTTCTCCCCAAGGGAATGAAAGAGGGGAGAAATGATGCAACTTATTTATAGACTCATCCATAACTTCCCATGCATGCATGGTTGTGCGTTAGTGTTACACTGTTGCGCTAACGGACAAATTGTAAAAGCAATTTGCTAGTACTATATATTGCGCTTTGTACATGATATATGTTCATAAAAAAGTTGTACATGACAAATTGTAAAAGCAAGTTGGCACATTTTTCTCGATAATTTGATCAAATAAAATAATTTTGTCATGACTCGTTTTCTAAAATTTTTGATGTACTTTTTAATATGAGAAATTTACCTAAATATATAGGACTAAAACATAATGACTTTCCCAATATATGACTATATGTTTTTATTTCCCAATGTAGGACTTTTGGTCATTATGAAGTAGTCATTATTCAAGTAATGTCCATCATTACTGGACATTATTCCTTCCACTAGGTCATTATTAAATCTTATTTAGAGAATAAAAAAATTTAAGTCCTACATTAGGAAAATCATTATGTTTTAGTCCTATTTAGTGCAAATTTCACTTTTATATATACGAAGTACTACCCTTGTCCCTGAGTATTTGTCCAATTTTGACTTTTTTTGATCAACTGTTCTCAACCTTTGATTTAAAATTAAATTAGATAAAATAGTATTCTAAAAATATTTGATATAATAAATCTAATAAAATAATTTTGTATGAATATCTAATATCATTTTTATTTAATTTGAAGTCAAAGTTTACCAATTTTGACTAAAAAAAGTCAAAAGTGGACAAATACTCAGGGACGGGAGAGTAAGCTTTAATATTTTTTAATTCTATACTAATTTATACTTATATTAATTGAAAATAATTTCAGTCAAATACTATAAATCGAACAAGAGCCTTATTTTGAGACGGAGGGAGTATATATATCTCTTTATTTTCAAGTAGAAAAATACACTGTTTTCATTTATGTTCGATCTCCTTGGTTCATTCGGTCTCGCTTGTTAACGCTACAAAAAAATGCTATATTGATGAGAGAGCTTATATGGTGCATATAAAATTGACATATTTATTTTATAGTCCTCAAATGAAAAGCAATTATTTATATACTCCATTCGTCCAAAAAATATTATTCTCATTTTGACTTTCTTGGTCAAAATATTAAAACTTTGACCATAAACCATTACAAAACCTTTAATTTCCATGGCTAGACCGATCCCTCGTTCTCTATTTCCACGCCATCACTATTTTCCGGTTGTCTTCCAAGTTTATACTCCGTTCGGGCTAAATATTTGCCACATTTGTATTCTCGAGACAAAATATCAAGTTTTTTCAATTCATTTTATTTACATATTGGTATAGAAACAAAAAATAAAATTTACATATCAAAAAACTACGTGAAAAGTTCTTCGAAATAAGAGGTGTCAAGAATATTTTATTTAATTAAATAACCAATGAAAACGTAGAAATAAACAAAAGTTCTCGCGACTGCTGAAAAAGCAAATGTTGCAAATAATTTGGAACGGAGGGAGTACGTAATTTATTTATTTTCCACTAGTTCTATGTAACAACGAGACTTGACATTGTAGAATACAATTTGACATTCTTTTTATTTTTTGTCATGCTCCGTTGGTTACACGGAATTAGAACGGATTTGAGATTGAAATTTTATGACATTGATTGGATTGAATTAAATTCTAAATAAATTCCAACCGTGTTTTTTGACATTATTTTTGCATTTGACTATTAGCATTGTAAAAAACAATTTGACATTGATTTTGGTATTTAGACAATATTCTTATGTTATTTTTGGCATTTGTCATTAGATCTCGTAACAAATTTGACATTTTTTTTTAAATATTTGACCTTCCATAAGTTAATTTTGATCAAAATACATTCGTTCAAATATGTCATGGTAAAGACACAACAGTTAGTCATTATACAACAATAACAACAACAACAAAGGCTTGTCCCATCAGGTGGGATCGACTATATTGATCAAACGACATCATTGCGCCCGTATAATATATATATTATATGTGCTGTGATCGAGATCATTCACACGAAGGTCTCTCTTGATCATTCTATAAGAACACTCCACCTAAATACCTTTCAACATATATGTGAGATAATTTTCCATTCATTTAATGATAATTTTTTTTCACATTTAGAAAGCTTAAACGTTCCCCTTATAAAAACGAAATAACTGAAGCGCGAACATTATTTTGGGACGACTAAAAAAAACATTCGGCAAGGATCATTTGACCTTGGCCTCGGGTGGCCTTAAATGACCTTCGCATTTTAGAGCACCTACGGTGCTCCATTGGGAAAATTTAGGGGGTAAAAAACCATTCATTTTACTAACGGAACACTGTAGAGCCGAGGCCTTGGATAATAAAAATTTTCCATGTCAAAGAATCGGTGTGAAAAACATTGGTTTTTTTTGTATGGAGGGAGAAACCTAGCCTATTCCTCCACTTATTGATTAAGGGATTAGGAGACATGTAAAAGCATTAGCATTTAGCTTTACACTTTTGTGGTGAAGCTTGACCGGTACAGAAGACGAAGGAATGAATGAGTGAATGAATGATTAGAGGGTCTTTATTAATTTCCTCTTCATTTTTAATTTGGCCATCCATGTATGTATTGATGTATAATGGGCAGTGATAGAATGTAATTCAAGAGCTGCCAAAACAAAAGGTGAGTTTAGTGCAATGCTGATGATAGTGACACCACTATTATTCATGTTCAAGATCGTGGAAATCATTTTTATTGCCAGAAATAAGAATATTGTATTTTAGATAGTGACAGAAAAATTTGATTTATTTACAAAAACGTTACGGCAATTTTTTCTTTTTCTTAGTCTTGATTTTTAATAGCCCTTAATTTTTAAATTCAGTGGATCGTAGGCATTCTCATTTCATAAAATCATATAGTCTTTTCACCTCTTGTTTTTTACTCCCTCCGTCCACGAAAACTTTTCTCCTTTCTTTTTTCATTCGTCTCAAAAAATTATTCTCATTTCTATTAAAAAGTCACTTTTGCCTCTACTAATTCTTAACTTACCTATCATATTGCATTTATTCACTATTAATCTACCCATCAAATATACTTAACACCAAAATACACTTTGCTTAAATCCCTTAAAAATCAAAATCTCCCATATTTTTAGTGCGGAGGGAGTACAATATTTCATGTAGTTTTTTAGTGCTTAAATTTCATTTTTAAATTTTACGCTTATAATCAAATAAATTGGGCATGAACTGAAAATAAAGTCGTTCAAACCTCGTAATGCGTAATGGAAAGATCTATGAGGGACAGAGTGAGTAATAAGAATAGAGAACTGATGATTAAAACATGTTCTATATATTGAAATAGGATTTTAATGTTTTTAAATCAAAATAAAACATATACACTATGTTTGATTCAAGGAATTTGAAAAGAAAATGAAAACATTTTTCTTGATTGGTTAGAGAGGAAAAGAAAAGAAAAGTGGAAGGAAAAAAGAAAATGAGAAGACAAAATATACTAAAAAGAAGGAAAATCAAATTCCTCTCATTTTGGTGAGGAAAATGAGAGAAATTATTTTCTTTTCTTTTTCATCCAAATCTTTTGAACCAAACATAGTGATAAAATCAAAGAGTGTAAAATATATATTACAAAAAACAATGTATAATACCAAGGTTTAACATTGCACAATGTGGATTCTTCTATTTAGAGATTACAAACATGGAGGTTATATTGGTAAAATTTTAAATTTTTCCTTCCTAATTTTTAAATCATTTATTAAAATAAATTATTTATATAACCTGTTAGAATATAAGAAACATTTCCTGGGTCACAACCACAAGCTTGAACTTTTGGTTGAGTTGGTTCCTTGACATGGTATCGGAGCCTTGTCGACTAAGAGGTCACGAGTTCGAAACTCAACGCTATACAGTTTTTAAAAAATTAAGGTTTCACGTGCAAGGCTCGAAAAAGACTACGCCTGCGGGTCACAACTACAAGCTTGAGCTTTTGGTTGGATTGGTTCTTTAACATACCTATTGTCTTATAAAATATTTTATATTTCATCAGTTCTAAAATAAATTATTCATTTCACTATTCTAAATTGATAAACATTTTAGTTTTCATTGACTATTTAATAAAATTAAGTATTGATGTCATCTCTTGTTTGTAGAATCTATTTTGATTTTTAAATAAAATGAATTTAAAAAATTTTAAATTTCATCTTGTTTTCACTTCCATATAAGTTGTTTTGGGAGGGGAGAGGTATAATTTTGAAATGTGTAATTTTATTGAATCTTTTGTTAATGTTTAACCAAATTGCATTACATTAATTTTAATTTTATTCATCCATCATAAATCACAATTCACAACCAAATATTTTTAGGGAATGTCGGAAGGTAAACGCTTGGTTTACAAACACAATGATGACAATTTTTACAAAATTTACTATCTGTGAACATCAGTAAAAATAATAAGTGGTCCAAAATAACTATAAAATGAAAATTTAAACTATAAATAGTAAGTCTGTAAAATTTATGACAATTATGTTTGTGAATATAACATTCCTCGTGTCGGAGTTATATAATGGCACCCAAAAGCCATTGAAAATTTGAAATTAAAGCATATTTGCGGGTGGGATCCATGCGTGCGTATAGGTGATGTTTCATTTCGATTTCAAAAGGGGAGAAACTTTGACCATAAGATTCCAAAAGATAGGGAGTGTATTGGATTACTCCTTCCTTTAATTATTTATTAATCATTTAGTACAAGAATATAATTATTTTGAATAAAGTTAGGGTAAAACAGAATACATCATTTGTACACCAGGTAAACACAGATACTAAGTATTTGTGATCACAAATATTTAGTGTCTATATTTACCTGATATATAAATGAAGTACCTTATTTTGATGTATTCCTAGCCTGACCCAATTATTTTACACGAAATATTTCACTTTGATTATGCCCCTAAGAATACTCCGTATTAAATAGGGACTTAGGTAATACTCCTACAATATAAATTTAAGAAATTCCCCTAAGTAGTAGTATAAAACCACCAATATTATACTCCGTATAAATAACACTTCTTTCATTTTTTGAGT